CTGCGCCTCGAGCCCGGCGCGTCCGTGCACCGGCATCCAGGCGGCGCCTTCGTGGCGGGCGAGCACATCAGCCAACACCACCGCCCCTGCGCCGAAGTACGCTGCGGGTGCGATGCGGTGGGCATCGGTGAGGCCGATCTTCTCCGTGCTGCAAGCTCGACTGCGGACTGCGAGCTCAGCTCGAACAAAGGAAGGACGAAAAGGCGCTCTCTGATTCACCGCGAGCCACCTTGACCCCTTTGTTGAGGCCAAGTGATAGGGGAGGAGTAGAGGCGCCGAGAGATAGCTTGCTGCACCGCCCCTCCCTCAGCGAGCGGAGCTCCGCTCCGCTCGCTCCCTCCCTCAATCAAGTCATTCACAGCGCCCCCAGACGACACTGACGCCATGGAGCGCATCAACTCTGACATGAGGGTGAGGCACTCTGTGACTCGTGTCTCGCCACCAACGGCCGACACACAGCTTCATTGGGGGTGTGCTGTGTGTGGTGCAGGCGTATTGGGAGGGCCGTGGGTACCGGTTTGTGAGTTGCGACGATGACGTGATTGAGGGGGGCTTCTCATCGGTGCATCGCGTGGAGAGGGGGGGGCGCGCCTATGCGCTTAAAGTGCAGGATAACGAAGACATTGACAGACTGGTCAGAAAGGGGCAACTCATCTTTGTAGGGGAAGGGGAGCGGCATGTGTTGCATTGCCTGAGCCTGAGTGAGTCGTTTCTATGTTGTGTGTGTGGTTGGTGCAGACGATGGGCGAGTCGTTTGTGGGCAGTGCAGTGGCGTCCCATCACCAGCTGTGTCACGAGAATGTCATCCCCATTGTCGAGGAGCACCACACCAAACAACAGAAGGCCTTCTGCATGCCTTTCTGCAAAGGTGCGCACCCATCAGTACAGACACATGCCTTTCCACACACTGGTGTCTGTATGGTGGTGTGATGCGGCCCCTCTCTGTGTGTGCAGGTGGCCATCTGGAGGACTGCCGGCCCACTAGTGAGCGAGAGGCGGCCGGCTACTTCCACCAGGTGCTCAAGGCGCTGCGATACCTACACAGCAAGAGAATCACACACAACGACGTGAAGGTACCTTGATGCCCCTCCACACACACACGCACGCACGCACACAGACGAAGCAGTGGTCGGAGGGAGCGTGTGTGTGTGCCTGCAGCTGACCAACATAGTGCGTGAGGAGCGGTCCGCTCAAAGCCGCGTGTACCTGATCGACCTGGACCTGCTCAAAGTCGTGCCGCACCATATTGACGACCACGACACACACGACGTGGCCAATCCCAACGTAAGGAGACTGACGCGCATACGACACACAAGCGGAGACCTTCAACAAACGGACACGTGGTGTGTGTCGTGTGTGTAACTGGATGGTCAGGATGCCGACATGAATGTAGAGCTGTGCCACGATGCGGGGGGCCAGCGAGACCCACTCAGAGTAGAAACGGGGCGTGACATCTTTGCGGCTGGTGAGTGAGAGTCATGCACACACACCAACTGGGGAAAGAACGAGACATCGTCCATGTGTTCTGCGCGTGTGTTGTTTGATCTTCAACACAGGTGTGTCGCTGATAGAGTTGCTGTCGTGTCACGAGAACCTGCCGGAGCGGCTCGAGTTTCTAGAGTACTGCGACAGAGACGACGACACACGAGAGCCGAACGAACAGGTGATAAACACACCGACTGACGCACACGAAGATGAAGGTAAGTAACACACCGTGGATGCTGTTCGTTGGTGTTCAGGTGTCTGTGGGCGTGTTGATGGAGAGCCTTCCCGGCCTCTCGTCGTCCCTCTACGACCTGCTGGCGGCGATGCTCTCGCGCGACCCCCTCTCACGAACCACTGCCAACGAGGTAACCCTTCCACCACCACCACCACAACCACACCCACACCCACACCAACGCACCACTCACGCGCATGTATCCCTTTTTGTCGCAACAGGCATTGACACATCCGTGGTTCCGCGCTCACCTGAAGGCGGAGCAGTTCGCACCAGCTGCAGCAGCCGCCGCCGTGGAGGACATCATGGACGACGGGCCCATTGACATAGCTGCGGACAGCGATGCGAGCCCGGCAGTGGTGGACCACATGATGGAGGATGCCACACCAGCCAATGGTGGAGCAGGTGGGGGTAGTTCTGCCTCTCACGTAAATGTGGCCGACGATCGCACACCGGACTTCCCCCGACGGACATTCGCACAGGTGCGTGGCGGGCTGGATGGGTGCCGAGGGGAGAATCTGACCCATCCATGGGTGCATTTGTCTTTTCGTGTTGATTGCTGCCCTGGATGTGTCGATCAGGCCGAGAGCAGCAGGAAGGGGCCCCCTTCTCATGCTGCCCCTGTGCAGCTGCCCACCGGCACACAGCAGAAGCTGACCCTCCCGATCGCTGCCCGGCCCCCTTACCCCGCCACCAACACCCACACCATAGGCACGCCCTGCCCCTCCCCCTCCCCCGCCCACCCGCACGCCGGCCCACTGATGGCAGGCGTGGCAGGCGCACCCTACTCGCCCCTCTCTCCCCTTTCCCGCATGGATGCCTCGCCGTCTTTCTGGTCGCCACACCACCAGCAGCACGTCGCTCGGCCGCAGGCCAACATCCCCACTTCCACCCCCACCCCCACCCCTACCTCTCCTGCATACCAGCCATACCAGCCACTCCAGCACCGGTTTGCCGGCTACAGCAACGTCAAGCCGGTGCTGGCCAGCGATCGCAGCACGGTCAGCACGGCCGCCAGCCCGACCGTCGCCGGAATTCCCCGCTCTTCGCCGCAGAGTGCGCACATGATGCCTCCTCAACCGGCCCAGAGCCACCATTATTCGTACCTGCCTCAGTGGGGCGGCCCTTCTGCTTCCGGCGGTCGGTATCTGCCGTATGCCCGGTCGGTGCCGCCTGGCTACCATGGCGTGCACGTGTGGAATAGCGTGCGGGGGTACCATCTCCGCCATATGTCTCTGCCTGCTGCTGCTGCTGCTGCCCCGCCCCCTGCCCTCTCCCCGATGCAAGCAGGAGCTGGTTCTAGTGGCTCGTGGCCCCCCAGGTCGCCGCACAGCAAAGGAGACACCAATTTTTGGCGAGCAGGATACCTACAGCGAGAGAGAGAGCAAACAGGGTGCATTGGTTATGCGGCCTTCATGTGCTGTGTGTGGTCAGTATGCCGACGATGCCTGTCCCACGGTGCAGTTTTCCTCTTGCCATGGGAGTGGGAACATCGTCACCTTCCAAGGACGAGAAACGAGCACAGAGGCCGTGTAGGACAGCCTGTTCGCTTCTGTGCATTCGCTAGCTAGGTGAGCGAGTGAGGAGCGGAGCTGAAATGCGTGCGCCCTTTTGAGATGGATGGCTGCTCTATTGTGTGTTTGGCTGTGTGTGCAGGTCTTGGTGTGAAGCGGGCGATGCAGTGTGTGTGCACTGTGGTGCTATGGGCCACGTACATACAACATACATTCACACATTGAGCGGCCGACTCATACAGACAGACAGTAAGATTCTCTCTCCCTCTCCCCGATTCTCTCTATGTATTCGTTAAGGGATCATCCATCCATGCCTTCCTTTGGATCGCGAGTGTGATGGATGGATGATGGCTGGCTGGCTGGCTGGCTGTCTGCTACGCTTCTTTCTCTCTATTCCTCTCTGTCTCTTCCCTCTGTTCTTGTCTGTCTGCTGGCGTGTGGTGGGCTGGGTTGGGTTGGGTTGGGTTGGGTGTGATGTGTTGCTAGTAGCTGGATGGATGGATGGATGGCTGTGCAGTGCAGTGACAGCTGCAGACAGACAGACAGGCCGGCAGGGAGAGAGGGAGCCGCTTTTGTCGCTTCTCCGTTGGTCGGCCGGTCGGTGGACGGGGCGAATACAGACAGACGGACGGACAGATTGATGGGTGTCCATACCACACCCACACAGGCAGGTTTGTCCTACCCCGGCCCGCCGCATTGGCTCTTTCTCCATCTGTCTATATGTATGTATGTACATGTGTATGTGTGTGGGTGTATTTGTGTGTATGCGTGAGTGCGTTGTGGGTATGTCTGTGAATGGGTGGGTGGGTGCTTCTGGGTGCAGCTACACGCTGCTACAACGAATTCAGATCGACAAGAGGACCCTGCCTGTGTGTCTGCCTGAGTGTGTGTTGTGTCCTCTTGACGATTGGTCGATGTGGATCGAGTTGACAGACGTTTTGGTTGCTTGGTTGTTTGGTTGGTGGATAGCCCGCCCCCGGATTGTTTTCTAGTGAGTCCCTTACAGACAGACAGAGACAGCCCACTGCCGGCCGGCCGGCCGGCCGGCGTCTCAACTTATGACACAAACAAGGAAGAATGGATGGATGGATGGATGGACGAATGACTTGGTGAGGGGTGGATGGGAGGGTGGGTGTCAAATGAAGAGATGGATCGCGATGGATGGATGGATGGGCGGTGGATTCTGCCCGTTGGACTGGCTCGAGTTTGTGTGCATATGGATACGGACGGATGACTTGGATGTGTGGATGAGTGGATGAGTGAATGAATGCATTGGCTGCATCGGTTTGGTCGATGATGGCTCGATTCGATATATCGGTTGGTGTGCTTTCAATTGTGTGTACAGTACATACATACACGTGACGTGCACTACACGGACCTACCTACCTGTGTGTGTCAAGGCAGCAACCAGACAGAGAGAGAGACAACTCGATTGACCTGAGATGGTACCAACTCGCTTTAGAGCTGACTTGCTGCCCGATTGGCTGACCTGACAGACCGAAAAAACAGACAGACAGACAGCCCAGTAAAGGAGAGACATCTAAGAAGTCGCACAATCGGTGTTCCACCATGCAGTGTGCGGCTGGGCGGGTCGACCGCAGACGCGCAGATGTGTACTGCGTGCCCTGGAGGCCCGGTGAGCGATCATGGCCTTGATCGTTCGCCGAGCCGTCGAGGCAGCGGAGGCACCTCTGGCGTCTGTGTTTTCGACTCGCCCCATCACCGTGGCGTTGGTGTGTTTTGATCTACTGACAGCTGCCTGCTGCATAGAGAGAAGTACAGAGAAGTACAGGCGCTGTGTACCCCACCAGCCCCCCTTTTCCATCTTTTTGTTGTATGTATGTGCTATGTATGCATCGTGCCGTGCGTGTGTGTCATTCTTGAATGCGTGATACGTGTTATAAAGCTGGCGCATCACATATGGGTGGGCGGCTGGCTGGCTGGCCGTCTGTCTGTCCCGTCGATGTGTGGCTGCGCTGCGTTGTGTGAAGAGCTAAAGCGCTGCTACTGCTATAGCTACGCTGCTGGCCCCTCTCACCTTCCCTCCCTGCCTCCCCTTTCCCCATCTACCTGTGAATACTGCTGCCTACCAATCATGCCGTGCATACATGCATCATCATACCGTCTTTCTCATCTTAGTGCCTCCTTGTTGCTGCTGTTGGTCGGTTGTTTGTTTGTTCGTTGTCCTTGGTTGTCATTGGTTTCTCCCCTTCTCCCCTCCCTCTCCCCTCTCTCTCTTTCGCTGTTTCCTCTGCGTGTTTTCCTTCGTTGGTTGGTTGATTCCGTGTGCTGGGTGGGTGAGCGATACCTGAGTGGCCGTCCTGCCTTCCCTCACGCCACACAACACACGGCACGGCACAGTACGTGTCGATGGACGAGAGAGTGATGATTTGTCCCCTTGTCCGTTTTCTGGCTGGCGCGCATAAATATCCACCTAGTGTACCACACACACACACACACACACAACACACACATACATTCAGGCCTCACACGTGTGTGTATACAGCTGGCTGGCCGGATCATCAGTCATATGTCATATTGTTACTTACCGTGTTCTTTACCGATCGTTTTTTGCCCCCTCTTTCCCCATCGATTTGATTGCCTCTTTCTCTCTTCTCTCGCAAGTCTTTCTTTGGGCGACGAGTGGACGAATGGGTGCGACGAGCGAGTGAGTTGACAGACGTGGGGTGGCCTTATTGCGATTGTCCTGATGCGATGTGATCTCGGTGCGCTCAACACCGGGCTCGGCATGCTTTTGCCCTGGTCGCGTCAGACGACACGGATGAACGCCTGACGAGTCCGGGTGGTAGCGCAGCGAGGCAGACGCACAGAGAGGGAGTTTGTCTTGTCTTGTGGATATCTTTCGATGACCGAACTCACTCACTCACGCTGGCTCGCAAAGGAATGGAATGGGCGTATTTAAGATGGTTTGGTCTTTGCCCTTAAGTCGACGAACACACCTGCATGCTCTCTCTCGTCCTGTTTTGTGTCTGCCCTGATCTGCACACAGAGAGGGACAGCCAGACAGCCAGACAGATGGAGATGGACTTGATGCACGTGCACACACACGGATGGCCATTTTTCCTTGCTTCTGTCGATGATCGATATGTGTTTTCTTACCGCCTGCCTGCCTGCCTGCCTGCCTGCAGCGGAGCGAGCTGTGCATATCGATGATTCTCAGTCACGCACTCACCCACTCATCTGTTTGGTTCCTTTTGTTGCTTGTGCTGCAGCTGGCGTGTATGGACAGTCAAACAGTGCAGTCATGTGAGTGAGCGAGTGAACGCGTGTCAGACTGTGTGAGTGAGTGAGTGAGCGAGGGAGTGAGGGCGCCGAGTTTGATCTTTTGATTGATGAATGATTCATTGACTCGTTGGCTTTACATACACACACATATACGCGTGTCAGTGTCAAAGATCGATCAACCGACATTGAGAGCACCACAAGCAGCACAACGCACCAATCGCACCAGACAATGGCTGCGATGGCGGCACTGTCGCTGCTCTCCGTCGTGGTGTCTGATGCCCGCATGCTGGCCCGTCACTCGCACTACCCCCTGTCACCACACCCAGGCGCGCACACACGCAGCATGTTGATACTGAGCCGCCAGCAACAGCCGACCACCAACGAGACACATGGTGCGGTGCCAGCTGCTGCCGAGGAGGAGTTCGCCGCCCTCCCTGTCCACCTGATCGACCGCATGTATGTCACAGTGCAGGTGCGCACCAAATGCCGGTCCATTCTCATCTCATCTCATTTTTGTATGCACAGGTTCTCCTCTACGCCTTCATCATCGCGTTTTACTTGTTCATGGCCCTCACCGCATCCTCGGGAGACAGAAGGGACCTGTTTGTGGCGCTGACCGCATCCCTTTTCGCTTTCTTCGCCTCTCTCGTGGTTGGAGTGACAGAGACGCCATGTCTCATCCCGGACGCCTCTCTGTGTCTCTCTTGTGTGTCGGTGCAGGTGCTCGTCAATGTGATTCCGGCACTGTCGAGTGTGATCGGCCTCGCCATCGCAACGGCAGTCTTCATCATCACTGCAGTAAGGAGAGATAGAAAAGGGAAAGAGACACCATTTGTGATGACACTGCGGGACTCTCTGGACGTGTTTCATTCAGGTCGTCATGGCGTACCAATCGGACAAGCTCAAACCTCTCGTCCCAGTCGCTATCGGCATTGGGCTCAACTGGCTGCACGCCGCGACGGCCATCCTCATCCCGACAAAGGGCCTCGGCCTGGTAGGAAGCTCGTCTGTGATGTGTTATCCCTGTTTGTGTGTCCTTGCAGATTGGTCTGGTCCTACCCACGCTCAGTGGAGAAGTCATCAACGCAATGTACAAAGAAAAAGACACACACACTCACATGGCAGTGTATGTCTGTCTGTCTAGCTACCTGAGCGGCCTGTTTGTGCTGTCGGCGGCACTGAGCTTCCTCGACTACATCATGACGGCGATCAAACCCAAAGTGGGCGAAAGATGAACCAACCGACAGAAACACGCCCTGCGCGGATGTATGTGTCGGCATACAGGCCTTCGACGTCCTGACGTTTCTGGGCCCGTTTCTGTCATCTTTTCTCGTCACAGCAGGTGGAATGAAATGACGACACAAACAATCATCTACCCATCCATCCATCCATCCATGTGTCCCTGTGTGCGCAGGTTGCGGCTTCATGCTCTTGTCTGTGGGAGTGTTCGAGCGCGAGAGTTACGACCTCATCTCATTCTTCAGCCTGCCGACTTCCTTCAAGTGAGCAGCCGATGACACGATGATCATGTCCATCCATGTCTACACAGGTGTGTCTGTCTGTTATCATGTGTGTGTCTATCTTTCTGTAGCCTGGTGGGCTTCAAGGATGGCTCGCTGACACTGCTGTGGGCCGCCGTGTTCGCGCTCGGCCTCTACGTCCACATCAAGCGCGAAAGGCAGCATGCAGATGCACTGGCAACACTGAAGGCTCGTGTGCTGAGCGACCAGCCGGCCGCAGCGACGTGAGTGTGTTGGCGGTGGTTGACCCTCTGGTGATGGGTTTTTCGTATAGATGAGTGAAACAAATATAAAATGACGCACAGAGAAGGCAGACACCAGAGAAACAAATCGCACAGACAGGCTGTGAGACTCGACATGAAGAGTACATTCAGTCCAGGACCACATGGCCGGCGACTGGATGGATGGATCGCTCAATGGGAGTGAATGAGAAAGCGTGACGAACCATCGTGCACATGTGACTAAAGGACGAACAGAAACAACAGTCGCCGTAACGGCCGTTTGTGAGCGCGCCCAAACAAAACATCAACTTCGCTCTTCCTTCGCCTTTCCTCTCTTCCGCATCACAAGAACAGCTTCCCCTCCTCTCTCTGATCACACAGACGTGGAATAAGGACAAGTTGACAACCTGCAGTTCCCCGAGGGAACGGGCGCTAACTGCCACACCCTGATCCCTCTGGGGCTGCGATGCCTGATTGGGGCAGCACCATCAGCCTCACAGACTTCGCGGCGTCATCCTCAGACTCTCCTGATCCCTTCCTCCCTCCCGCATCGCTCAAGTATGTCGTCAGCAAGGGCCTGAGCCGCCTGACGGAGGCCCACTCTGCGGGACTCTCCCCACTCGCGCCCATCGGCGGCGGCAAACGCTACGTGCCTTTCAGGCCGAGGAAGACCAGGACGCACCTACTGCAGAAGGCCGCTATGAGGGCGTATCGGGTGAGTGACGCATTCGGGGGAGGGAGGCATACAGGGGGGTGGCGAGAGGTGTTGTGCGTGTGCGTGTGTGTGTCACATAGAGTCGGCGGCACTACCGGTCGTTTCGCGACTCGGCCTTCCGTCTGGAGACCATTCCCGAGGACCACGAGCTGACCGCCGCCATCTCAACCCCGTCGACCAGCACCACCCCATCGACAGACATCCGGGTCATCATCCCGCCCTTCTCCTGCATCTCCCACAAGGGCCCGCCCACCCCTCCCGCACGCACAAACGACCCCTCTGTGGACGACAGCAAGGGCACCAAGGGCGGCTGGGGCGGTGGCGGGGATCTTGTGAGCGAGACCGGTGTAGAGTGGGCCAAGGTGACGCTGCGCGTCGTCATTGTGTGCTGCCTTCTGGTGGGGCTGCTGATGGTGCTGCTGCCCAACGCCTGGCGACTGGTGCCCTCCCTGACACCGAGTGCTGCTGACCGCAGCTTTATGAGGGTCAGTCTGGCCTTCTTGGAGCAGCACGCCGGCGTTGAGGGAGTGGGAGAGGTGGCGGGGCTGAAGGCGCTGAGGGGGCCGGGTAGCTAGACAGACAGACACATCAACAAACAGGTGTATCTGTGTACCTGTGTGTGTGTGTGGGTCGGTGGGTGGGGGGGGGGAAGTGATGATGGGACAACCAAAGCCTTGTCTATGTCATCTATATGGGGCCATCCACACACACATACACAAACTCTCTCTACCGCACTCTCTCGCACTCTCATTTTTGTTGTCGTTATCTTTTTGTTTTTACTCTTTCATCGCACCACACGGCAACTGAAGGGCGGAGGGAGGGAGGGTGTCTGTGTGTTTGTGTTTCGCTGCTGCAATTTTGTTCCTCCGCTTTTGCCACCCATCCACCCATCCACACAGACAGACAGAGAGACAGGCTACCAGCAATCCCAAATCAATTCGATTCGACTCATGTGTGCGTGGCTGTTGCGTGTTGTGTTGCACGTGTGTGTTGCTCTGTGGGTTTGTTTGGGGGCGGCCAATAGGCCAACACGCACACGACCTGGTGTGGGTGTCGGCCGGTTGGCGGTTGGCGCGACAAATGGGGAGCGAGGGAGGGAGGGAGGGGAATTGATGGGTACGCGCATTTCCTGCTGCTGCTTCGCTTTTGCCTCCTGCATCCCTCGCACACCCACACACCCACACAGACACCTGAAGGTACGTACGTAATCAGACAGGCAGACGAATGGGCGTGTGTAGTCGATGAGTGACCATATACACACAGGCCTGGTGTGCAGTGCTTGGACCGCATGCACAAATTAGGACTGTTGAGTACGCCGGGCCCCCTCCCGAATGCATGTGGGCAGGGGAGCGCACAGATGAGCGAGCCTCAGCTGCACACACATGACCTCCCTGCCGACTTACCTACTTGCCCCTACTTGTTTGTTTGCTTGGATGTACGTATGTCACAAAAGTGCTCAGTCTGCCTGCCTGTGTGTGTCTGTGTGTGTGTGTGTGTGTGTTGGTCACGTACTTACTTGTGTGGCTGAATACAGTCTCTTCTGTGTCGGTCGGTGTCTGTCAATAGACGAACGATGGATAGCTGGAGTGGAGGAGAGACAAACAAGTGTGTGTGAATAAAGAGAGAGAGAGAGAGAGAGAGTGGGGCCGGGGAATGAACGAAGGCACAACTGAGAGCGAGAGGATTCAGCTGACGCTCACTTGGCTTATACACACGTAATCGTATGAGTGTATAGGCTGCTCGACAGACAGACAGGTCGGGGGGGCGGGGGAGTGAGGTGATGCATCGTTGCATCATCGTGTGGACTGGACAGTGCCCATACGTCATCATTTCAAACCAGTGCAAATTAGCTCATCGTCGAGGAGCTCGAACAGCAGGCCGCCCGACTGACCATCGCTCCCAGCATCACACCATGTAGAAGAAACACACACACAGACACACTCCCACGCACACGTCACACGTGCACTGCGGTCTTCAACAAAGGCAAAAAAATAAGGAGGACAGACCGAGCTGAGACACAGCCTGAAAACCGAGGAGTCAGGGGAAAAACTCACGGGATGTACTTCCACTTGTTCTGCCTCTGTAGTATGAGCGCAGAGTCCTTCTGGTCGACATTGATGATGTGCAGCACCAGCCAGTCCTTCAAAAACGCTATCAAGTCGTCCCACACCTGCACACACGCGCATGAGCATCAACACACACACACACACACACTTTGAGACATACAGACACACACAGGCTGACCGACCGCCATTCTGGTGAAGTCGACGGTGAGCAGGACGTCTCCGACTTTCTCGACGAGGGCCTGGTGGAAGCGGACGTGGCGCGTCATGCGCTTGGCGGGCAGCTGGTGCTTGATGAACATGTTCTCCTCGTCGTGGAAATGAAAAATCGTATACCCAACCAACTCCTATACACACACACAGACACACACAGAGAGGGTAATGTGTGTCTCCCCCTCTCTCCCTCTGTCTCTTATATACTTCCAGCAGGTGCATCATCCGCTGCTCTGGCGTCTCAACCACAGTGCTGGCCCTCTCCAAGTCTATCTCCTCCATACCCACGTCCGACACACTCTGGCTCTGGTTCTCAGGCCGGCTGCCGTCGATATGGGCATGGGCAGGCGGGAAGTTCTCCAAGGACACTCTGGCAATTGGCCCTTCTACCGGCACATCTGAGTCCGGATGGCGATTGCAACGTCGTCGTTGTTGTTGTTGTCTTTTGGTGGTTGTGGCGATGCCTCGAGCTCAGTAAGCCTGGCTTGGTGTATCTCGATGCGGCAATCGATTATGGCGTTGAGAATGTCGAACAACCTTTTGTGCTGGTGGTCCTGAGGCGGGAGAAAAGACACACATGTCGCTCAGAAAGCTGTATATGGGTGGGGATGGACGCCCACCTGCAGTGCGACGTGTGTCCTGTATGAGTCGGTGAACTCGGCTCTCTCTAGCTCGAGGTCCTCTGCCGTCCTGACTGTTGAGGATGATGCGACCGTCGCTTCCCTCTGCATGGCCGGCGGCTCTTTCTCCTTGTGCGGCATTGTGTTGACCGACATGACCACCAGCGCGTCGGGCGGCAACTCTGTCAGAGTGTCCTCTACACAGCACGTTTGAGACGAAGCCACCCATGTCTCTCTCTCTCTCCCTCGCAAGTGGCCGTCTTACCCCAGATAAGATTATCGAGCAGCACCAGGTTTGCCATGACCTTTGGCTGCTGCGAGAGAACGGCACGTTTGAGGCCGAAAAGGCCCTCCCGTGTGATGTAGTTTTTGCTCAAGTCCAGCTCCTCCATCGGCGGAGGGGGCTCTTTCTCCAACCACTCGGCGAATGCGAGAGCACCGCTGTCCTGCACACAGACAGGTGGAGAGAGAGACCGTTGATGCCTAACTTGTGGCTGGTTTTTGCTTCTGACCTTGGTGAAGTTGCCTGCGTATGAGAGGTGCTGCAGCGAGACGCTCTCTGCCTCCTTCAGCACACTCACGAACTTCACCGTCATGGCCGGGCCGATGACTGCACAACACACAGAGAGAGAGGGGAGGGACGCTCGTTGCCTGTGGGCCTGCATGTGGTGTGCTGTGTTGTCGGTCTGACTGACAGTTTCTGTTGAGGTCGAGCGATTTGATCTGCGACTGTGCGATGGCATTTGCGAGAGTGAGGACAATGTCTCCGTGAATCGCGTTGCCGGAGATATCCAGGTACTCCAAGACGCGGTTCTCACACAGACCCTCACACAGCGTGGCGGCACCTGCACACAAACATACAGGAGGTATCAGATGCGGTCAACACACATACAGCTTATGGATGTGCACGCGCTCACCTTTGTCTCCTAGCCTATTGTTGGCGAGCGAAAGCGACTTCAGCTTCTTGTTGCCGGCCAACAGCCGCTTTAGCGGCTTATGAGGGATCTGAACACGAGACACAAACCAAATGAAGCGTCCCTGTCGTCTGTGTGCTCTATGAGATGGATCTCACCTGGTTTTCTGCCAGATCAAGCTGCTGCAGTGACTTGGATTTGGCACACGCCATCAGGAACTTGGTTGCTGCCACGCCCCGACTGGGTACATTGCCGCTCGACATCCGCTTGGCCCGGACCTGTACACACAAAAACCCGAATACACATCTGAGATTGAATTTGTGGCGCAATGGGTGGATGTGTGTTACGTAGTCGGTCTTTGGCTCTTCAAGCGCGTCTGCTCCTTCTAGGTATGCCGCCTGCCGTGCATCTAGGCCACTGGATCTGTCTGAGAAGACGGATTGCGCTCGCGACCGGCCTGCACCGAGAAGACACAAACATGAAGTCGCTGTGAGTCCGTCTGGTATATCCGTCTGTCTAGCACTCACCCGAGGCCGACAGTACGTGAGAGCGTGCTGAAATGACAAGGATACAGGTTGACGAAGAAGGACCAAGTGATGTATGCCTCTCTTTTACCCGAGTCAGATCTTAACATGGGGTCGACCGTCATGTGTTGGATGCCGCAGTTGTTGGCCTTCAGCACCACAAGAGATCGGTTGTCCTTCAGCGCTTTGCTCAGCTGACCCAAATCCTGCAAAGAATGAGACAGACGACGTATCTGTGTATGGCCGCCGTGACGCTGTCAGTGGGACTCATCTGACCAGGGGGTCCAGCTCCATGTTATCGTATGTGGCAAATCTTATTTTATCTTTCTTGATGCCGCCCAGGAAGGGCAGCTGGCCAACGCCCAGGTTGATGACCACCTCCATATAGCTCCAAACACTCAGCTGTCTCACGTGGGCGTTGACGACGATCGCACTGAGCAATCAGAGGACAGCAGACGGCTATGGGAGCATGTGTGTCTCACTCACCTCAACCATTAGCTTACCTGATAGAGCCCACCCCTCGGATGACCGATATCAGAACACCCACCATGAAGTCGGCGGATGGCGGCTCCTGAAGTGCATGAATGCACCGCACCATCCCACTGCCCATGTGATTTTTCCTTCTTCCTCTGTTGCTCGCGTACATTGGCGAGGAAAATGATTGCAATTTGCAGGCCGAGCTGGATAGGCGTGGCTGCGATGGTCACTACGAGAGACCGCAATTGGTTGTAGAACTGAAGCAGCTTCGTGTCCTCCAGATCGTTGACTACGTACCTGACAGCAGATAATTTGTACGCAATGTGTGAGACGCTTGTGCTGAATGGCTCTGTGGCGTGCGTGGCACCATGTTGCGAGGGCGATGTCGGTGGTGAGACATGCAATCGATACGATGATAGGGTAAAACGTCAGCAGGAAGAATCGCTCAATCTTGTTGAACTTCCGAACTGCTCGACACAACATATTGACAAAGGATAAATGTCTCTGCCATCTGCAGCCCCCCTGTCCCTTTTCACAGCTACCTACCTGGGTCAAAGACATAAATCTTCGAGTACGCCCCAAAGAGAAGCGCTACGAGTACGCCGAATGGGACGACAATCGAATGACCTGATCCACCATGATGTCAGCGGATGGACACATGAAAGAGGGAGGTCATTTTGCGATGTGCTCAGTCGGTGTAGCTGTCAATAGAGCTTACCATCAGCAAGTAAAACAGGTACGGGTAGCTGCCCTCCTCAGCCTGCTCGTACAGACCCTCAGCCACAACCGCATCAAGGTAATAGTCGACCACATATATTATCCTGAACAGTTCACGTATCATATTTGGTGGAGGATGCACACAGATGCATGCTGTATCCATCTGCAAGCGCTTACTCACCGATAGAATGCAGTGATGGCCTTAGCAACGAACGGCAACCTCTTGATGAGCGACTGCCATCTTATAACCAGGTCGCCGCATCGACCACCCCTTCCGCGAAGCGTGGTGGTTGCAACGCTCTCACGAGATCCCCTTCGCCCGCCGCTGACCATGGACACGTCGCGGAAGGGAATTCTCTCCCGATCGCCCCCTGCAGACGACAGAGATGTCCGCCTCTTGCCTCCCATGGCAAAGTTGACCCCCGGCTGCTTTGGGGGAGCAAGCGATTGCTCGCGTGTCTGGGCGGGGGTCATAGATATGGCACCGAGAGGGATACTCTGGTCGCCTCGAAGCTGCATGTACACACGACCGTCACCGAATGATCATCCCCACAGCAACAGATCAGCTGGTGTTCTCTAACTGACCTGCTGCAATCCCGGGGCTGTGAGTTCGAAGAAGCCAATGATGGGCACCTGGCTCATGTTGCTGTCGTCGGAGTGGTCGAAATGCTCCAGGTCCATGCCGGATGCCGAGGCCGAGGCACTCTTGTTCCGCAGCATGGGCTGATACTTCCCGGCAGCAGCCTTGAAGTTCTGGGGTAGGGGGCTGGTCTTTGACGAAGACAGAGGGCCCTCCGTGGCCGACTGCATCTCTGTCGTGGCCCTGTGCATTTCCCGAGCGACAAAAAGGTCCAAAGGAGGAGCAGGGAAATCGTCGAGAATTTCGCGATTTCTCTTTTTTTTTCTTTTCTTTTTTTTTTCCTCTTTGGTTGCAGGATCATTCAAGAGGATCATCTTCCTACGAACGCCCGTGCGCATCCCATTCTCCCTGCCCCGCCACCTTCCCCTCCTCCCCCACCCCATCACCTCGGCTGCAGCACAACAGGGAGATGGCTGACCCATCTCAACCTGATGGCCTACTGACCCTCAATATGATATCAGCTGTTACAGCCACCTATCTGTCTGCTTCAAAGGGATTGGGGAGGAAATGGTTATTGTGGAACCTCGTGAGGAGGTCGTTCGAATTCTCTCCAATGTCCATGAATTCTGTCACCGATGTCGACTCAGGCAACGATGGAAACAATTGCTGCTGCCCCCGATGCAAGGTGAGTACAAACAATGATGGCCGACACACACTCAGACGAGTTGGTTGTTTCTTTGTTTGTGTGCGTGTATGCGTGTGTGTGTTCGTGTGTGTGTTGCTTCTCAGGGGAGCGAAATCCTCCTCGCCATCACCCAAGACCACTTCAAGTGGCTCGTCCATCTGATCGCCTTGAGGGCTTCCTGCTTTCCGTCAAGCCACACTGTTTTGGCGCAGCTGGTCGAGGGACTGAATCGGGGTGTCGAGCAAGAGTTCGTGAGACATGCACTTGTAGGCCAAATCACGTCAGCAACGCAGACAGACACACTACAGATTCCCTCTCATGTGCGTCATGTGCAATGCATGATCTCAGATTGATGTCATTCGTCGCTTGCTAGACTTTGCGGATCCAGCCGCAGAGAACGAGGACGACAAGGCGTACCGAGACTGCCTCAAGAACCTCGGGGGTTTCCTCTCCGCTATTTCATGGGGGCTGGGCACGCCTGTTGCCGCCTCTCAAATCAGCTGGGAGACCGTCCTGAAGGAGGCCTACGAGAGGGGAACACTGACTGTGGTGCTGCCCATGGTCTTGGCATACTTTTCCCGCAAGACACACACGGACATGACCCACCTGCTGCCCGTTCTGCCTCTCTTAATGGAGCTATTCCATGCCGAGGGGCTGGCGATGCAACTCAAGCTGGGAATATTGGTTGCTACGGACAAGATACCAGCGGAGAATCTGCCGAGGCCGTTGGTACTCGACCAGCTGAGTACGCCTCCTGCTACACGGGATTTCAAACGCCGGCAGCCAACGGCAAGCGAAGGTACGCTGGCAACACAGGGAAGGACACATCTGTCATGCCTCTGTCCTCATGTCTCGTGTTCAGGTGGCAGTGACAATATTCACTCACCCGACCCACACAAGCTCCTCCAACCCACCAAGCCCCCCGACGGTAGTTTCACGCACACATTCACACACACACACACACACACACACGTGCACACGTGTCAATCTCCTGCTTCCAGATTGCTGCCTATATTTTACATCTGAAAGCTCTCTGATGGACTTCATACAGACCTCGTATTACCATCGCCGCACAAGTGGCGCAGGCCAATGGTGTGGGTCACGAACAAAGGTATGATGTCTGTAGGAAGGACAGAAGTGATAGCGACTTGTGTCTGTCAACCTCTGGCCCGTCTGTCTTTCCCTCTGTGCGTGTGTGTGTGTGTGTGTGTTTGCATCAGCCATCAACCTGTCCAAGCTCAGTCACCCCAACATCATCAGCTGCGAGGGCATGATGCTAAACAACGGCGTCACTGCCCTCTTCATGCCGTACATACACGGCCGCAGCCTGGACAAGATGGTGACAAAGCACCTGCCCACCTCTTTCTACCTCCATATCGCCAAGCAGATCCTGTCGGCCCTTGCGTACATGCATTCGCAGCAGTGTGTGCACAGGGACATAAAACCCGGTAAGTATCGAGCCCGCGCAGTCAGCAGGCACGAGTCAATGCGTCAACGTGTCTTATGCGAATGTCTGTGCGTCTCCCTGTCAGATTACATCTTAGTCGAGGACGGCACAAACAAGGTCTACTGCCCACCGTGGCCCATGACGAACCGCTCGATGTCTTCCTCGGCCGAGCCCACCAGTACGCCATGTTCGCTGACGACTTCTGCCCAAGGACTCTGCACGACTTCACCAACTCATGGGCTGGCCGGCGAGCTGCGTCAAGGTGGCGCCTGAGCCCAGAAGCAGCGGAGAACCTGCTTTAAGATCTGGCAGAGCTAGGCCGTTTCCGCCAGCTGATGCTCGCCGCGAGGCACAGCAAGAGGGGCTGCGCATCATCGGCCGGGCTGAATACGAGCAATACAGGACCGTGCAGGTCCTCTACAAGTGACCAGGGGTGTCCGAGGTGCTCAAAGCTCGGGACACGAGCGACGGCCTGAAGACTGTGAGAATCGCCGACGACAAGGACGTAAGGCCGTGGCGCCGGGCGTTTCGGGGAAGAACATGGCGGCAACCAATGGCCTGGACCACTGTGGAAGGTATGGATACGGTGGACGTGGCAAGGCCGAAACACAATAGCGCTGTTCAGTCATGGTCTCTCTCTTCCTCTCTGTCCATGTGTGTGTGTTTGTACGTGTGTTGTGTGTGTGTGTTGTCAGCCGTCAATTTGTCGAGGCTCAGCCAACCCAACATCCTTCCTTGTGAGGGGCTGATGCTTGACGATGGGCTAAACGCAATTGTCTACCCATACTGAAAGCCCAAAGCCTTGAGAAGCTGGTCAAGAAGCGGATGTCGGTCTGTCTGTTCGTTGCTATCGCCAAGCAAGTGCTATCGGCCCTTGTCTACATGCACTCAGGCGAATACATCAAGCCAGGTAGGTGTGAAGCGCATCAAGCAGGTGCACAAGAGACATGCATACACACAGTCTCTGTGTATGCCTGTATGTCTCCATCTGTCAGATAACATACCGCTGGAAGACGATACAAACAAGGTGTACCTCATTGACTTCGGGACAGCAGCATTCATCGGTGGGCGAGGGGCGTGGAGCTGGAGACAGGATATAGAAGGGAGTACATGCTGCCCGAGTGCCACTAGGAGTCGGCCAACACCAACCTCCTGCCGCCTGCCCAGCCCGGCTTTCCCAACGTCCCCCAGCAGCCGCCGCAGCACCAGGCGGGCCCTCCCGCCGTCGTTGATAAGTCGATGGATGTGTTTGGGGCGTGTGTTATCCTCGCCGAGCTGTGGTTGGGAGAGTGGTTTTCGCTAAGCGGCGGCGGTGTGAAGAACACAGCCTTCCTGCCCCTCTCTTTGCCCCGCCCGCTCGGCCCGCTCGTCACGCGAGGCATCACAGCGGCCCCCCAGGACAGGCCGACGGCACAGGAGCTGCTCAACGCCGCAAACAGGGTGGTCAACCCAGATGTTCGTGTAGACGTGCTTGAAATCTGCTTGTCTCTGGCGGGTTCGCATGCACGCACCTGTCTGTGTGGCTACTTTAGGTGCACCGAATGTGGCAGCAGGCCGAGCAGGAAATCGATGAAGCGGACCAGGAAATCTTGGACCTCCGCCGCAAACGTGGCGAAGATAAATTCCGGATGGAGTCTCTCGAACGAGAGAGCAGCCAGCAACAGGCAACCATCGAAGAGCTGCAAGGTGAGCCAGTGCCGAATACAGTGAATACGGGCATGTGAATGTGTGTTAGACGAATTTTCAGCGTCTCAGCGGCAGGTGGCTGAGCTGACAAGGCAGTTGCAGCAGAAGGAAGGTGCGCGAGAGAGACACGCACGTCGTTCTACTTTTGCAGGTGTCTCTCTCGCGCCCTTTTGCAGGTGACATGGACAGGTTGAGGGTGGGCAGCGGCATGGGCATGGGCGGCATGGGCGGCGGCATGGGCATGGGCATGGGCGGCGGCCCCACCCCCCAGGGCATGCGGGGCTACGGCAACTTCCCTGGCCAGGGCGCCTTCGGGGCCGGCGGCCCGGGGCAGGGATTCGCCGGACAGCAACCCAACATGTGAGCCACGAGCCAATACAGCAACCCAAGGGGTCGCGATGCAAAGGTGAGTACCTGCAGCCAGCCAATAGAGACGTATCACTAAGCAACACCTTTGAATGTCTGCTTGCAGAACGTCTTTGATCGACTGTATGGGCTGGCCAAACAGAAGAAGTGATTCAGCCGTGAGACATGTGTGGTGGTGATTCGTCTTCATGGTTTCCGTGTCTTACAAATACGCCGCAGCAGGTGCGTCTGCTGACACCGATGTCCACTCACTTGCCAGTGCACTGTGTGTGGTGTCTCTTATCCCCTCTGTGTGTATCTAAAACCAGATGCAGCGTCTTGCAGGGTAGCGTGCCTTGAATGTCTGCGCAGAATAGCAAAGGCAGCTTCATTGCCTTGTACAAGTGCAGGCAATCTTCGAGAGGCTGCATTCTCTCGCTGCCTGCATTTTATATCTCAAAGCTCTGTTTCGATATTGCGGATTCAATCAGATGAGACTGTTTGCGTGTATGGATCTCATATGTCAATTCATCAAATCCCACATGCCATATACAGCACCGCACAGAGGTCTTCACATGCCTATCACCGTACATGTCTCATGATTTGATCTTTCGTTTCTGTTGCGCCAGCCCATATAGTCTGTCGAAGACGTTCTGCAAACCGACATCCAAACATTGCGGACTGATGTGATCTATCCGTTGTTGCTGGGTTGCTGACCTTTGGGTTACGGCCTCTCGTCATCTTCTCCGTAGCTTTGTTGCATATCCGCGGCTTGAAAGTGCACTCCTGGGTGGTTTCTGGAGCTCCACTCCGCCCCTTTCTCTTCGTGGCTGCTTCTCTGTCCGTACTCTTCTTAGCTGTGGGTGGGCCGACCTTCCCTTTTGACTCGACAGCCTGACACATACCGCAAGGATGCGTGACGAGAAGCGGATGCGTGCATGTCCTCTTACCTGCTTCTCATTTTGCAGCGCGGCAACACGTGCTCGCAACTGGGCCTGGTTGTCGCTGCATCCCGCCTCGAACCGCTTGCGACCGTCTGAGGACGACCGTTGGTGATCAGTCGGTCAACAGCCTTATGGATTGGTGCATGTCTCACCCTCTAAAGCCTTCTTGGCGGCCAGCAGCTCGCCATTCTCACTACACACACGAGCATGCTCGACATCCAAATCCTGTATGCAGGTAACACAGGAAGGAAGGGAGACTCCGTATGCGTTGTGGATTGATGGGCACGACATTTTTGGTTGTTTGCTGCTTGACCTTTTTGTTTTGTCTGTATTGATTGGATTCCTCTAGTGCCATCTGCACAGCCTCTCTCGCCCCCAACAACTCCTGGCGCAGCTCACCTACCGCAGCTGAAGGTAATAAATAACCACAAAGGCGGGCAGGGATGTGCATGGTCCCCTGCGAAGTGCGCACCTTCCATCCGAGCCTTTTGCGCCAAGGCAGCAGCTTTCTCCTTCCCTGTCTCTTGGAGATCGTCCTGTCACGCCAAGAGTGCACCTGAAGCACATGCACGTGTCTCAGTGCTTGTGTATCCATTTTATCCGGTTCTGTCTTACCCTGTGCCTGGTTCGCCTCCTTTTCAAAACCCTGACGGGCTTCTGAGGATGATACAAGCCAGACGATCAGGAATGAATGCTGACCAAGCCGGCAAGTCAGCCAGCCGTCGTCCTGTGCATTCGTGTATCTAGCTACTGTCTCACCCTCGAGAGCTGTGTTGGCGGCCAGCAGCTCGCCGTTCCTGGCGCGCAGGCGTGCACACTCAGCTGCCAAATCCTGTATGCGGGCGCAACACACGTTTGTTTCTTTGAGATCCTCCTGGCATGGATGAGCGTGACATTTTTGGTTGTTTGCTGATTGACCTTTTTGTCCTGTATGAATTGATTGGCTTCCTCTTGTGCCATCTGCGCAGCCTCCTTCGCCTCCGACAACTCCTGGCGCAGCCCACCTACCACACCTGGAGGTGACAAATAAACACAAAGGTGGGCAGGGATGTGCGCCTGACGCACATGCGTGTGTCTCAGTGCGTCGGACTGCCTCCTGTACGCATTTTATCCATTTCTGCTCTCACCCTGCAACTCTTCCAGTGCCGCGTGTTGTCCCCGCTCAATAGCCTCCAGCCGGAATTTCAGTTCGCCACATTTGTGGCGTACGTCTAGAATTTCCTTGTCCGCTTCTTCGATCTCCTCCTCGGCCTGCTGCCACATCCTCTGGACCTAAAATAGCCACACAGAAAGGCGGGTGCACGCACGTCGGCTCACGAGTGTCTCTGTTTTCTTGTTGAAGCTAACCTGAAGCCCTCTGTCCTTTGTCCTCATGGCGGCCTTCAGCAGCTCGTCGGCAGTGGGGCGCTCGTTAGGGTTGGATGAAAGTCCCTGAGTAATGAGTTTGCCGAGTGGACCCGGGATCGACAGCGGCATGAACGCCGTGTCTTTCATACCCCCCCCTTGGATGCAAAACCATTCCCCAACCCACAACTCAGCCAGGGTCACGCACACGCCAAAGATGTCCATTGATTTGTCCACCACGGACGGAGAGCGGCGCTGCTGCTGCTGCTGCTGCTGCTGGGGCGGCTGGGAGACATTGGGGAAGCCGGCCTGTGCGGGTGGCAGCAGGCTCCTGTTTGCTGACTCTCTAACCTCCGGCGGGGCATACTCCTTTGTGAAGCCCGCTCCCAACTCAACCCCCGCCGACCCGTTCAGGAACGCAGCCGAGGCGAAATCGATCACGTACACCTTGTTTGTGCCGTCCTCGACTAAGATGTTGTCTGACAGGGACACGCACAGACATTCGCATAAGACACGTTGACGCATTGACTCGTGCCTGCTGACTGCGCGGGCTCGATACTTACCGGGTTTTATGTCCCTGTGCACACACTGCTGCGAATGCATGTACGCAAGGGCCGACAGGATCTGCTTGGCGATATGGAGGTAGAAAGAGGTGGGCAGGTGCTTTGTCACCATCTTGTCCAGGCTGCGGCCGTGTATGTACGGCATGAAGAGGGCAGTGACGCCGTTGTTTAGCATCATGCCCTCGCAGCCGATGATGTTGGGGTGACTGAGCTTGGACAGGTTGATGGCTGATGCAAACACACATACACACACGCAGAGGGAAAGACAGACGGGCCAGAAGTAGACAGACAGAAGTCGCTATCACTTCTGTCTTCCTACAGACATCATACCTTCGTTGGTGACCCACACCATTGGCCTGCGCCAGCTGCTGTCCTGGAATGGCTCCTGCCAGGGCTCCAGGTCGTCGTCTTTCATCCATTTCATGGTCTTCAGGTTTCCACCCTGGTCGCGGACCTGGAGCACCTCGCACACGCCGGGTCTGTCGTACAGCACGGCTATCTCCGAGCACCCTCTGTATTCGTCCCTGCCCACGATGCGGACGCCCTGATGCCGCGCCTCGTCCAGCAACCGCTGGCGGAATTGGGCCACCTCCTCGAGGTCCTCCAGCAAATCTTGTGCGTCCCCAGCGCTTCGTCTCCATCGCTGGGCGGCCCGCCTCCCACACCATGACCTGTTGAAAGCCCGCGGGCTGCTTGAGCACATGTCGTCGACGGCCATGGCGTACAGGTGGCATCTTTCCATGTAGACATCGAGGGGCTCATTATCGGCCACGGTTGGGAGGGAACTTGGGTGTGGCCGTGGAAGGTGCAGCTTGGCCATCAGGGGGTCGGGCAAGGCGCCGTTGGCTGCCATTGCGGTCGGCAGGGAGGGGAGGGGAGGGAAGGGGAGGGAAGGGCAGCGTGGAAGAGTCACTGAGACTCAGTCTCAGTCACGGCAACAAGGCGTGGCAAGAAATCAGCAAAGCAGCGTCCTTGAAGGCGCTGTGAGGGGAGGGGAGGGGCTGGGCGGCGAGGGAGGGAGGGAGGGGAGGGAAGGGAAGGGAAGCAGCAAGTAAGGCAGCAACTGAGTCTCAGTCACAGCAACAAGGCGCGTGGCAATCGAAGACACTCTGGCAATATTGAGCAAAGGTTGCTTGTCTGCAGGAAAACAGCGCGAAAGCGGAGAGAATTGCGGAACCGAAGGGAAGGGAAGGGAAGGGAAGGGAAGGGAAGGCGCCCACCACTCGGCCCACACCTTTTGCAGATTTACACTGAATGAATCACATTTGTTGCGGACCACTCCAAGGCTTCTCCCCCGCACAGCATCTTCCAAGCACCAGTGCGACGAGCGGAGAGCGTCAGAAACACGGTCAAAACTGCGCGCTGAGCCGTCTCCATGGCCCCCATGGCCCCCAGTCAGAGGCAGTGCATCTGATGTTGTTGCAGAGAAGGCTGCGTTGACTGATGGCGTGACAGATAAAGAGAAAGCTGCTGCCCTGGCAGAAGGCTCTTTGTTGCTGAGAGATAGAGTTGCTGGCTGTTGTGTGTGGTTGTGGTGTGATCAGATCGTTGCCTACACTTTATATCCGAGAGCTTCTTCTGCCCATCATGCCAAGGGACAGACGGTCTACTTGACAAACAAATGCATTGAATTGCCTCTCCATCAATGAATGCATGCAATTGCATATCAAGTCGGGGTCTTATGTACAGGGACTCGTGCATGCGATGAGCGCAGCGGCGTAGCCACTGCGTCAAAGCCACACACTCGCATACACACAGATGGCATGGCTGCAAAATCATCTCCCCTCAGTCCACACCCTTGCCAGTAGGCACACTCACCCTCACACGTACGTGCACATGGACACTGTGACAAATTCACTGCCATCACTCACTGCAGACAGAGAGATGACTGAAAAAAGACGACCCTCCTTGATTTGACCCCCAAGGCAAAAAAGCAAAACAGTGCTCTCTTCTCTCGGCCTTCCACACCCACATCCATCCACATCAGCACTGTCAGTCACTGAATTCGTCCGTTCCGTCGTCGACCAGCGACGATGCCATCCTATGCCACCTTGCACACGCACGGATGGTCAATTGTGTGGCTGCTAGCTGGTGACGATGAAGGAGTCGGTTTCCTGCGTGTCCTTCTCCACCAATCCCATGCGCTGCCGCTGAGCCACCTGCAGCGCCGGGCTGTCACCCTTGATACCCTCGCCAGCCTGCATACACCACATACAGAGATGCCAACATGTGTGTGGGGGGCGTGTGTGTGTGTGTGTGCGTGTGCGGACCTGTTTGACGTCAGCCCCGACGGCCTGTGAGATGTGTGTGAATCCGTCCTTGGCCAGCAGGTCGGACAGGCCAACTACTATGTCGCTGATCAGCTGGGGCCCCTGCACAAACCAACAAAACAGGGAGAGAGAAATGTGTGTGGGCATGTGGTGTGCCGTGATGCTGATGTGCACACTCACACACGCACCCTGTAGATCATGCCGGTGATGAGCTGCACCAGCGACGCGCCGTTGCGGATCTTCCGGTAGGCATCCTCCGCTGTGAAGACGCCGCCCACCCCGACGATGACCAGCTTGCCCCCGCTTTTGGCGTACACGTAGCGAATCAGCTGGTTCGTCAAATCCTGAAACAGCAGATCGTTCGGTCGTGGCGGGCCGACAAACACAGCGAGAGGGTGCGTATGTGTGAGGATGCTTCTGTGTGAAGGCTTCTGTGTGAAGGCGTCTGCGGCGCGTGGCGTACCTCTACAACTTTGCCGCTCAGCCCTCCTAGGTACGGCAGCTTCCCGCCTAGCAGATCCTCCTGCACGACCGACGGTGTGTGTTGTGTTGTTTGTTTGGTTTGTCTCCCTCACCCACCCACTTACCTCGTGTATGTGTGTGTTGCCCTCTCGCTTCTTGGTGAGGTTGCTGATGATCATGCCCGTCACGCCGTGACGCAGACACACCTGTACCAAAGCGAGCACACATGCGTCTTTGTGTTGGCATATGTGCGTGTGTGGGTACGTCGATGATGCCGTCGACTTGCTGGCTGCTGAGGTCGGGCCCGATCTTCACAAACGTGGGCCGGTCGAACTCGTGAACACCTGCACACAGTCATATCATCCAACCACCCATACGTGTGTATCGATGGTGTGCTGCTGACACACACACAGGCAGACAGACAGACAGACGTACCTCTGAGGGCGGTGAGCAGTTTGTCCAGAGGTTCCGGCTCTGTGAATGGCTGTCTGCCGTTGTCCTGATACACGTTGGGGCAGGACACGTTGATGGCCCAGTAGTGGCCCACATCCAGCAACTCACGATACGCCTGCACACACACACACACACACACATATGATCTATGTCAACATGCCAACCACAGTGGATGGATGGACGGATGTGGTTGGTCACCTGCACATAGTCCTGTATGCCGACGTGCTCCTCCACCGTCTCGCGGCAGTTGGTCTTGGCGATGGATATGCCCGTCACAAACGGGGGGGCCTGACGACGGCCTGGTGGATGAGGGAGGGACCACAACACACGCACACACCCACACGTATACAGACAGGCAGACATGAACACGCGAATGTGTGCATGTGTGTGTGCGTGAGGGGAGGGAGGGTGGGGGTGTGGGGTGTGTACCGACCGTTCTTGCCGCCCTTGTCCATGGATTTGGTCATGTTGGATCGCAGCAGGTGCGGGTGGTTGACGCGCAACCTGCACCCACACACACAAAGACACACATGGACACGTGCGTTGAAGCCAACACACTCAGTGAAGACTTGCAGCTCACCGCTGGGCGATTTTCTCCGCTCCGTCGTTGCACAGGCCAAACCTGACAGACATCATGACAACACATGTGCCTACATATCGTCTGTGTGCATGCTGTGGTGAGCCCCCCATGTGTGTCCTGTATACCATATCTGCAGCGATTCGCTCTGCGGCAGCCGCCACACACGCGGCTTGGGGTTGCCCTCACACGGACGGCCAGTGATCGAACCAACCTCTTCAAAGCCGAAGCCCACGTGCGGCATCAGTTTGATGAGGTCAGCGTTCTTGTCGAAGCCGGCAGCCAGGCCCACGCAGTTGGGGAACACCACCCCTTGGATCGTCTGCTCGAGCTCCTTGAGGTGCGGCGCGCCGAACTGCACCCCCACAGTGCCGCGAGTGAACGACGTCGCGCCCAGCACCTTGCCCTACCGACAGACAAACACAGACACGCAGATGCAGGCAGGCAGGGAGGGAGATGTGTGTGTATGCCTTGCTGTGTGTTGTGTGTTGTGTGTGTGTGTGTGTGTGTGTGTGTGCCGGCACACCGATTTGATGGCGAGTTCGTGGCACTTTTCGGGGTCCATTCTGAAGAAGTGCGGCTTCAACACACGCTGGTAGAAGCAGCGAAACATCGCGTTCCTGACACACCACACAGACACAGACACACCGACCACACACAGAGAATGAACGTCAGTCCTCTCAATCAAGCGACCCGACCCCCCTTTGTGTGTGCATCTCTATAGCAGACACACCTAGCCTTGATGACGCTGATGAGGAACTTTTTCGACAGCCAGCACGAGAGGGCCAGCACCACGCAGATGAGTACTAGCGCCGCGCTCACGCTCACCCCTACCACACACGGAGGCGCGCACACACTCCTGCACACCACACACACACCCCATGACCCTTGGCCCACACCATAACCCTTGGCTGGCAGCTTACTGTTGTTCTAAGAGTGCACTGGCGTGTCCGGCGGCCGCATGGGCGCCGCTGTCGTGCAGCAGAGTGTCGGGTCGGGGTGCCATGGCGCTGCCTCGCAAACTCTGAGGGTGAGAGGGGGAAACGGGGGAAGGAGGGGCGGGGAGGGGTCTGCAACGACGCAACATATACACACAGACAATCGTGGCGCACCTGTAAGTGCTGTGTGTGAGATTGTGGTAAGGAGCGTTACCTCTGGTCCTGGAGTATCCGACGCACCACCAATGAACGATCAGCTTGCGGACTCATTCAATGGGCTTGAAACCACACTTAAAATGAGCATCTTGGCGCCCATTTTGGGATCCACGTCACTCCTCTCGGTGCGAGCTTTTTACCCTCTTTGGGTCGCGAGCTCAACAGCTCGCCCGCCTTCTCTCGCCAAAACAAACAGAAAATGCGTCCCTTTGGGTCGGTGCTCGCTGCCTGTGTGGTGCTGAGTGTGGTTTCAATGGCGCTTGGCTTTGGAATGCGCCGCGGAGGAACAGGTGAGGGACCAACTTGCTGGCGGGCTCTCTCTGTTGCTGCTTCCGCACCAATACGTTTCTCTGTGTGTGTGTGTGTGTTGTCTATCGGCCAGGCGAGCCTGTTGATTTCGTGGGGGAGACGAGGTGGCGGTACCGCCCTATCGTCATTCAGGGCAGCCTGGCGGAAGTGCAGGCCGCACTCGACGCTGCCGCCAAAATAGAAGAGGATGTAAGTGACAGTGTCAGTGTGGGTGCAGTGCACTGGCTGGTGCAGACAGACCCGAATGGGTGGCATGTGGGTGGTGTGTGCATGTATCCTGTGTGTGGTGTGTCTGTGTGCAGCTGAAGGAGCGCAATGTGCAGTTTGTGGTGGCGCTGCCGAGTGCGGACCAGGTGAAGCTGCAGAAGACCTTCGACTGCGTCTGGTTCGCGTCAAGCGCCGACAAAATCACCGCAATATACCTCAGAAACGGTCAGAATGGATGGCTGTGAGAAAACCCTTCACACATTGAATGCATTGGTGGTCTCTCTCTCTGTGTGTGTGTGTGCGTGTGCAGATGACGGCAAGAAGCCCCATCAGTGGGCATTGGTGGGCTACGACGGCAGCGTTAAGGCGGCCGGCAGTCTGCCCATTGACTTCGCCAAGGAGATAATGGCCAAGATCGACACCATGCCCATGAGAAAGGACGAGATGGCAGACAAGAAATTCAAACCCAGTGAGTGAGCCACGCCACACATAAATATATGGAGTACACACCCGTCGTCCCTCCTTGAACGAATGGTTCCCTCTCTCTGTGTGTGTGCTACATACCTGTCAGCCGCGGAATGCATCCTCGGCAAAGAGATCGGTTAAGAGCCGGCGGGCGGGAGGGACGTAGCCGTTTTGCGAGCAGCTGACCGGATATCAACGGTTTCGCAAAGCGAATGTTTTTTGTGTTGTTGAAAGGGAGGGATGGAGGGAAGGTTATTCCATTCACTGGCTGGCTGGCTGGACGAGCAGCGTACCTACCACACGGACTGGCTGGCCGGCTGATGTGTGAGTGTGAGGGAGATGAGCAGGGGAGGGAGGGGAGAGGAGGGATGTGTACATACACACATATAGTGTCTGTCTGTCTGTCTAGTGCGTGTGCGCCTGCCTGCCTGCCTGCCTGCCTGTTTTGCCTCTCGTTTTGCTCTCAGCACGTTTTGAGTCATACGTCGCCTGTGCGTGCATCGTGCTGATGCCCTCCCTTCGTCTTGCCGGCCGACACCTGCCGCAGCACTCGTGAGGCGGCGAGCGGCGCGGAAGGTGTCGACTGGAGGTGCCAAGGGAGGGGTGTCATCGCGACAGCTGCACGGCTGCACAGAGAGGGATGCTCGCCAGACTGTGTGAATATGGTGTTGCTAGGCCTACACTGCTTGTCAGTCAATCTCTCAAGAGACGCAACTGAACCAACATGTCAATCTCTCAGAGGAATGCAATCCATCCATCCATCCAGCCATGCGTATATGTCCTCACGCTCGTTGAAACCGCTGCTCATACTACATAACGCGAGACCACACTACGCTCTTTCTGGCTTCCTCCTCAGCTCGCTTCTCTTCGACAAATCCCTCTCAGAGTGACGTGTCATCTGTGGTCTCCGTCAAAACTGCCGCATGCACGTGTGAGTGCACACAGGCATTTTGAAAGAAACTCTCCGACACGCACCATATCGCTCGCTCGTTGTGTCCATGCAAAAACTTCATTCCGCAGACCATTCGTTCTATCTGTGTGGCATTGCCGCTGTGGGGTCGGGTGGATGTGGATGTGACGCCCATGCACAAAGAAGGCGCAGGCTCTCTCTCTCTCTCTCTCGGACACAAGCGCAGCGATGCCATCGGCTGGAGGGCTCTCCCCTCGCCATCCGACAGTGCGGGATAATCAGGTCGCATGGTGTCACCTCACCACGCGGCCGGACCACCCCTCGAGCACGGACGCAGAGAGCAGAGACCACTCACACACCACAGGCATCCATCCGCAAGACAACGCAAGAACGGAAAGCAAACGAACCCCCCGCAGTCACTCACACACCCACACGCATGCAGACACGCTTGTCTGTCTGTCTGTCTGTCTGTCTGTCTGTCCATCTGCCAGCCTGACTCCACTCCGTTCCGCCGGCTGTCCAGATCACTCACTTCTTGCCGTAGGTGAGCTTGACGAACGAGTAACCGGCCCTGCACACACACATACAGCCCAGCTCCAGCGGTGTATGTTATGTGTGTTTGTTGTGTGTGTTTGTGTATGCGTGGCCACCCCACCCCGACTTGACTTACTTGGGTTGGTTGGGGAATTTCTCCTCCTTCTCCTTCTGCCAGTCGGCGAGCGTCTCGAACTTGCCCCGTCGGCCCTCCCAGAACTTCTTCTGACCCGCCCTCTTCTCCTCGTCGGCGCGCAACGCCTGCTGGTACTGGTCGGCCGTCAGACCCCGCGGCACGTACATGCCCTTGCGCTGCATCTCATACTTCTGGCTGTACTTGCCGCCGCTGCCGGGGGGTGCCGACGAGACGGCCTTCCTCACTGCTGGTGAAGCGGGTGCCCTCTTGACGGGAGATGCAGCAGCCGCCTGGCCACCGGCTGGGGGCGACTGGCTGGTCTGCTTGGGTGTGAGGTTCTGGAGGAAGTTGCCGAGCATCTGCGGGGATGATGCGCGGCGGTAGGGGGAGACAGGTCGCTGGGAGAGGGTGGGGAGGGCGCTGAGGGCCTGGAAGGCCTCGGCGGCGGACAGCAGGTCCTCGAGAGTGTCCACCTGCTGCGCAGTGGCACTCACTGCCAGGGCCAGGGCAAGCACCACCTTCATCATGCTGTCAGGTGATCTGATCAGATCTACTGCCGCAAGGGAGGATGCAAGCAAGGCGGGGGGGAAGGGAGGAGCTGGTGGGACGGTCACTGCGAGCTCAATCTCCCGGCAGCAGCGGTTTCAGGGAGCACTCTAGGCTCCGCTTATCATCGCGTTTCTCGACACCTAAAAAGGTGAGGCCTCACCTGCCCAGACCCATGGCATTCTTGTGCGCGCGTCTGTGTTTCCTGTAGGCACACTCCAGCAGCAATCATGATGTCAGAGTCAGACCTGCAGCTGGCTCTCCCCGACGAGCCTCAGCAGCACCAGCAGCAGCAGCAGCACCAGCAGGAGGATGCTCCAGCGACCAGCGGCAGCGTGGCCTCCTCCCTCCCGTCGGAAACCATCCCCATCCACAGTGGTGAACACGACGAGCATCATGCCCCACTGTTCGCCCCGCCGGCCGGCGACCACGAGCCGCTTCCTTACATCCGCTACCCGGACTTCAGGGCGGCATTCCAGCGGCGAGAGGACGGCAGAAGGAGCTACAGCTTTAGAGCGGGAGGGGGAGACGCCCGGCAAGAGAAGGCCCCACTGCCCAGAAGCGCCACGGAGCCCCAGAGTCTGCCTCAGGCGGTTAGTGAGCGCCCAGAACACACAGCAGCAGATGAAGAGGCCCGGTTGGGGGATGAGGAGGAATCCGAAGTGCCCATGACAACAAGGCTGACCGAGGCACACGCGGCACACGAGCCAACCGACCATCGTGAGCCGCAACACGACAAACAATCCGCCGACACTGTTGCCAGTCCCCCACCAGCAACAGTAACCAAGGCAGCAGCCCCAGGCCCCTCCCTGCCACGCGCAAAACCTTACAGACTCACCGTCACACCTCCTCAGGCACAGGCACCCCCACAGGACGGCCGCCAGCCGGCCGCCAAAGCTCGGCACGCTCATGCAGCTCAGAAAAAGCCCCCCAGCACCACACGGGAGAGACACGGCAGTGGGGCTGTTGCTGTTAATGCGGCGTCGGTGTCTGCCGAGAGGGGGAGGGAGAGGGAGAGGGAGGGGGCAAGAGAGGGAGAGACTGTTGCTGGTGGTACTGGAGTGAGAGAAAGATGGGAAGGTGACGGTGCCTTGACCGACGTCAACCCACAGCAACTGTGTGAGCCGGAGAGAGACAAGGGGGGGAGAGACACCGCAGCCATGTTGATTGAATGGGCATGTCTGTCTGTGTCTGTTTGCACTGTATGTGGATTATTATCAGTGTCGTGGCTGCTGGAGGCCCACAAGGCCAACCACCAGCTTACCATGCAGTTCATCGACCAACAGGTGGGTCCGGTCCAGTACACACACGTAGGGGAGGGGACATGAGCCAATGTGTGTCTGTGTGTCTGTGTGTTGGTGGCAGAATAGCTATCTGTCCAGCGAAAGAGATTGGACTGAAGCGCTGCAAGTAAGCAGCCACACGCACACGCACACGCACACGCACCCTCACACAATACATGAGAGCCGATATTCTCTCATTGTGTCTGTCTGCAGGCGGCCCGTGAAGACGAGCATCAGCTGCTCGAGGACAACACGGTCCTGCAGCTGCACCTTAACGACCTCGTGTTAGCCAACACACACACACACACACACCACTGTGTCCGTGTTACCTACCTTATCAGAGAGCTGAATGACCGTCTAGTCGGCCTGGTGGCCAAGTTCCAGCACTTCTACGCCACCGACGACACCGACCCTTCACCCATCCTGCCCCTAGCAGCAGCCCTGCCCCCCTCCCTCCCCCCTCCCCCTCCCCCTCTGTCACCGCCAGCAGAGGACAAGACCATCCAGACCTCCCCCAGGGCCACAGAGCTCTCATCAGAGCTCACCAAGCTGCTCTCACACCTCACACACATACAGAAACGACGTTACAGTGGCGGCGATCCAGCTGCTGCTGCCGAAGTGGGGGGTGAGCATGCCGTTTATGGCTATGAGGAGTATGGGCGGCTGCATTGCTGCGCGTCTGGGAGGCCTTTGTTTGAGGAGAGCGACCTGTATTTCCGCGGCAATGAGAGAGGGAGAGGGACAGGGACAGGGACAGGGAGAGGGAGAGGGACAGGGAGAGGGAGAGGGACGGGCAAAGGTCCTAGGGGAAGGGGCGGACACATGAGGCCGACCACAGCACTGCTGCCTGTGAGTGCGGCGTCTCGCCGTGTTCAGAGGTACACAGAGAGTGAGCCGAGTGTGACCGTGTGTGTGATTGCTGTCTGTGCGTATCCGTCTGTTTCTCTGTGTCTGACAAACAGTGACCTCCTGGTGGCTCGGAAGAAGGCGCTGCTGCAGCGGAAGGACCACCTGCTGCAGTACCTCATCCAACTCACACAAGCCGCCCTCAGACACAAACAGAGCCAATCCGTCCAGAAGAACTACGAGACTTCTCTAAGCCCACAGCCACAGCCGCGCCCCAATTCTCAGTACGGCCAGTGCCGCCTCCTGTTCGACCAGGAGCCTTCACCAAGAAGGAGGACAATCGCAGAGGAAAATAATGCGTCCCTTCCTCATCGATCGCATCAACCTGTTGGTTCTGGTGGTGTTGGTGGTGGTGGGGGTGGTGGGGGTGGTGAGGGGACAGGCACCGCAACGACCTACATCGAGCGGCAGTTCAGCCCCTTTTACTCGCCGGCGCGCCACGGTGTAGATCCGGTCTTCGCTGCAAGGAGCATGCCCTCGCCCATTCCTCCCAGAGAGCCGCCGGCCCCCTGTGTGCGGCTGCCCGTCTATGTGGCGACACAGCAAGTGATGACGGCCGGGCAGAGACAAAGACAGAGACAGAGGCAGGGGACAAGGGCGGAGGGAATGGCTGCCGGCCATGTGCACCCCAGCATGTGGGAGCATCAGCTGAGGAGCTATCGGCCGACATCCGACGTTTTCGCTTCCTCTCGCCCCCCTTGCCGACCATTGCGCGAGGAACATCCTCATCCATCGAAGGCATCCAGCCCGCGGCTCGCTTTGTCTGCTGCTGTCGAAGTTGGCCAGGAGTCGACAGACAGGGGAGACACCATCGAGCCCGACCTGGGCGGAGCGACGGACACCTCATCGTCGCACCATCGCATGTACTGGCGGTCATCTCGCCCGCAGCAGCCCTCCTCGAAGCTATTCTTCCCGCCGCGCCCATCCCACCCAGCTATTGCAGCAACAGCCCCTGCAGAGGACCTGCTCGTCAGCTGGGACGTCACGCCACTGCAACAGCAGCTGCAGCTACAGCAGGCAGCATCGACAGTGAGGTATTTCGTCTATCCCCCTTCTCTCCCGCCCCCGCCGCCTCCCAAGTGTGGCCGTGCAGTGGATGGGTCGGAGGGTGGCTCCAGCGTCACGCAGCGGTCGGTGAGCACCCAGAAGAATGGCGGCATCAGATACAGTGACATCCACGCACAGCGACTGGGAATGCCGGGGTGGTCCCCATCCAGTACCACGATGCTCACCCCTCCTCAGAAGAGGAAAATGGTCGTCAAGGGGAGGGTGGCCAAGACACCCAAGACCCCGACAATGGTACCCGACTCTCCCGGCGACAGCAGAGACACCGCCAGCAAAAGGAGGAAAGCCCCGGAGCCTCAGGTGAAGAAAGTCAACACCAGCGAAGATCTGTGGTCGTCTGGGGATGAGAGTGAGCGGCCTGACGGGACAGAAGTGTCTGTCATCTCGCGGCTGAAGCTGCCTGTCGAGAGGGGGAAGGACAGCGGGGGAGTTGGGTCACCTGCTGCGGCTGGTGTGAACAGGCAGGCTCCTTGGCGGCCCTTCAAATCCTACGACACCGAAGGCTCGGCGGACTCTTTCTTCCTCTTCCAAGTGTGTGAGAAGAGAGAGGCACACACATTCACATACAGATCCTCGGCCCACATTCCATGCGTTTCTCTCTGTCCCTCTCTGTCCCTCCCTCTCTGTCTCCGTTTCTGTCCCTCTCTGTGGCTGCAGCATGAGTTCGAGCACGATCTCTTCCAAGCCCTCTACCCAGGGTGGTGGGAGAAGCACAACAGCGACTCACACCTGGACCCACCACTCCCCACAAACACCGATGGTGGTGATGCGCCCCAGCAGCCCCAGGAGCGCAGGTGGTCCGACGACGGGTCAAACCAACTGGCCGGCACTTTCGCAAGGCTACGCAGCAGCAGCAGAGACAGAGACAGAGAGGCCTCCCCCGTGACACTGTGTGCGCCTCTGTCTGCTCGAGGGCAGCCGCCCGACAATGCGGCGGTTGTGGACGCGAGACGGCGGCTGTCCGTGGCTGCTATGATGCAGACCAGAGCGGGCAGGCGGCGAATGTCGATTTTGCAGTTGCAGCAGCGCGCCGGTGGTGAGGAGACTATTATGTCTCCGCGGCTGAGGAGGCCGTCGCCGCGGCGGGGAGGGGGAGGGGGCGAGGGAGAGGGGGAGGCGCAGCAGGCGACGGCATGAGTGAATGCATGCCTGTAGCTGAAAGAGTGAGTGGGTGGGGGGTGGTTGAACCGACGTGTTGGTAGACGGATGGATGGATCGGTGTGTGACAGACATGTGGTGGTGCTAAGTAAGGCCTTGTGCACGAGAGTGCACGTACCTGCATGTGCGTGTGCATGTTGGGTGGACTGTCTGACATACCTATCAACACACACGTGACCGAAGGATTGAATGGGTGGATGTGTTGGCGTCGGTCAGTGACGTTAATCCTCCTGGCTTTCTGTATCTTGTGGTGTGTGTGGCTGGCGGGGGGGTGAGGGGTGGGTGCGAGATCCTCATGGGTGCGACTTTCGCTCATTAATCGGTTAGGTTGATCCACACACACATACGTGCAGCGCGTGCCACTGACGCAATTCTGTTTGTCTGTCTGTCCATCGTACATGTCATCATCTAGGATACTAGACACAATGAAATCGTTGGAGGAGACACCACAGAGCCCCTCACCACCGCTGCCACCGCCGCGTGCACACAAGGAGTTGGTCAAAAGAGTGCCAGCTTCACCAGAGCCAGCGGGATGGCTATCCATCGCCAGCGCCGTCCCCACACAGATAGGTAAACACCATCACTGCAATGAATGCCCTCCAGGAGTCTAACAACCGCTTTCTTCTGAGGCTCTGCACACACACACCAACACAGGCACACACACAGAGAGAGATAGAAAGAGAGAGAGAGAGAGAGAGAGAGAGTCGTACACCCACATGCCATCGCGCTTGACCTCAGTAACGTGGTTGGCACGACGGCTGGGGCGGCCCTGTGCGTTGCGGGACAGGCGGACGGCCGGCGGGTGCACATACGCACAGCTGCCACAGTTGGTCAGAGGATCAGGCCGCTTAACGCGAGAACAATAAGGCGCCGAAGCATCTCTCTCGTCCATCTTACTTTGCTGTGTGGACAGCCAGAGAGGACACACAGCCACACACCGCCGATAATGTCAGATCTTCGTCCCGTTCCGCATTGTCCGCCTGCCTCTGTCCAGGCGCATCCACACACGCTGCCTGCCACACACACACACAGAAGAAGACATGCGAGCTCAAAACCCAACCCACTGTGTGTCAGGGGGAGAAGAACAGCCGGAAGGCTGCTCGAGGCAACGACGCACGTCAATTGATGAACGGCGGGAGCTTGGCAGAACATGTGCCGTTCAGGCTTCCCAAGTGGCGTGGCCCTTACCCTGACGAGACTCCCGGTAAGATTGACGTGGTTCTCTTCGTCGGCAGGGACTCGTCCACCAGGCAGCGACCCGACCCTATTGAGAGGGATGTCAACCCCGCGACGGATGTGCACCGCCTGCCTAATTTCGAGCGCTTCCAGCCCTCGTACTCGTCGGACGCACGATCATTGGCGGAGGTATTGTCATTCATCGAGGGAATGAAGGACCACATCCGGGGTGAGCTGGCGATTCCGGCAGAGACGCATATCAACATCTTGGACGGCTTCGGCTGTAGCGTCAATCCTCGCATGATGGAGCAACACGGCTCATACCTCATTGAGATCATGGAAGACGGTCAGTCGGGGAAACACAGGCAGACAGGCGGACACGCAGACAGGCGGACAGGCAGGTGGACAGAGAAGGGCGGCGCAACCACGACATGACTAAATGGTTGTTTGTTGGATGTGAGTGTGTGTGCAGAGGAGTATGAGAAGTACATGTCTGCCCGTCAGAGGCGCTCTGACGAGAGTGGCGCCACGCTGCAGCCTTCCACCGACCCGCAGCGGCCTCCCGTAGACTCAGCACATGCTCCCGCTGCCCCGTCTTTCCTGCAGCAGCTGGTGCATCGATTGATGCCGAGTCGCCACCGGCAAGGCCCAACCGGGGGAGCGGCTGCGCAGACCAGCGATGGGCTCAGAGAGCCGCTCCTCGGCCAGTTTGGGACGAGTGAGGGGCAGCAGGGGTGGAGCGGGGAAACGGATGGCGAGCCAGGCAGGTAGAGCCGTGGCTGCTTGCTTGGCGGGAAGGTCGGACAGTCTCTCATTTTTTGGTCAAGGACACGTTCGTTGTGTTACTTCGTGTGGCCTGATGTGTGGCTGCTTGACTGATTTATTGATCCATGTGATACGTTCATCTCAACAAACAGCAAGTCATCATACGAGGTAGGAAAAAATCAACACAATGAAAATTACCGTGATAATCAAGGGGATGGAAAACCGTACATCCACCCACAGCAGAAACCCGTGCACAGGAAAAAAGCAGCACTGCGTGCAGCAGCCCTCCCGTAGCCTCCACCGAGGATCCATCTCCATCGTAGCCCTGTGGGAGAAGTAACCGAACGCTAGCGCCATGCTGATGAGGAGGACCACCCACGCATTCGCTTGGCCAATCATATGGGCAGCTTGTGGATTCAGCGCGTGCAGCACGTCCACCATGAATGGCAGCAAGATGAACTGGAAGGCGAGTATCTCGAGCACGGTACCGTACAACACATACAACGCCAGCTGTAACCACCCGTCCTGTTTGGGGTGGATCTTCCCCCTGTAGAAGTACACACACCAGCGAGGCTAACCTCGCTGATTGCCTCCAGGCCCGCCATCAGCCCCGTCAGTCGGTCCGGCAGCCACGGCGAGATGCAGGGTGTTGGCGCCGCCAGCATCAGTGAGCAGTCCAGCAACCAGTCCAGCAACGGGCGTACCGACGACGGCCGGTGGCGGCGAGGGAAGGGGCTTCGGGAGTGCCGCAACGGCCAGTGCCGTAGAAGGCTCGGACTCAGCACCTGATGAGCGCCCAATCGTGGAGGCGGCGGGATCCGATTGAAATGCGTCTTCTGCTCACGTGCAACCACAAACGATGCAGACACTCAGCTTAGTGCATATCTGTTCGTGAACTGCCTGCCCAACTGACCGGCTGGCTCGATCCAGTATAGGCCATGGTCTTGTAGGGCATTAAGCTGAGCTGTCTGGCCGTCCCCTAACGCGATGACGGTGAAGGCGCCGGTTAGCCTGAACGCGTTGCCGATCTCTTGTCTGACCTCATCGGCAGTGGGGTGACGACCAAATCGCGAAATGCGCCGTCGGATACGCGCCCCTGACGACTGACGAGCGTAAAAGGCCACGGAAAGGTCTGACGCCGTAGGCCAGTCAGCATCTGGGATGTTCAACAACCCATCTGCATCAATCAAAGCCCGGATCTCTTGTAGGCGAGCAGCATTCATGCCGAAAACCACACTGAAAACAGCACATGCACACGCCAAGTGGTCTGCATCCACAAGCAGCGCCGTTCGGCAGCCGTCGGTCGGATTCCCTGTGGTCCTGCCCACCTGATCTGTTGTGAGGGCTCGTCAGTCCGTCGGCAGCTGGCTGCTGACTCCTCCGAGAGCTATGAAACAATATCAGTGCTACCTGCAAGGACAGGCAGAAGCCCTTGCTTTTGGCCAGATCTGCAGACAGAGACCGTGTTGAGACCGTGTGCACCTGCCTGCTTTGTTGCTGCATGCGCACCTCTGCTGCAGAGGTGGTGGAGGACAGATCTCGTTACAGGACCGTCGGAGGGGTACGCGGACAAACGAAAGAGAGCGAAATCGCTAAGGGCAATCCTCACGATGCGAGCTAACCCAGTAGCTCGCCATCAGTAGATCGGAGCTTGTTGTTCGACGACAGCAGGCTCATCGCGTTCGAGAACAAGACGCAGCTGCCGCATCAGCGAACGAGGCGGTCAGCGGCGAATTGTCCAGTCCCACAGACACCACGCCTACCGGGCAGGTAGATCAGCTCGTTCCCTCCCGTATCCGTCGCATCAGCGAGTGTCGAGAGGCCACTGCGTGTCGCGCGTCAAGCCATGACGACTGTGCAGCCCTCGCCCGGCATGAATCCCTCCGGCGGCCCATCCGGCACTTACGGAGCGGGTCAGACCGTCCCTCCCAGCGCGTCGACCGGTCCCACCATCACGCCCAGCAACAACGCCAGCGCCAACTTCACCAACGCCTCCCTCTATGTCGGCGACTTGGCCGAGAACGTCAGCGAGCCGCACCTCTACGACATCTTCAACAACGTGGGAGCTGTGGCCTCCATCCGCGTCTGTCGCGACTCGGTCACGCGGCGCTCGCTGGGCTATGCCTACGTCAACTACCACAACCCTGCCGACGGTGAGTGACTGAGTGAGTGGGATGGGGCAGTGGACGACGAGAGAGCCACATGCCCATGCTGCGCACAGAGAGGGGGAGGGAGAGAGGGAGGGAGGCAGGACGGACGGCATGCAGGGAGTTGTGGGAGAGAGGGAGAGGTGGAGACATGGCTCAGCGAGGCGTGTGGACGCATGTGGGCGCGTGTGATGTGTCTTGTGTGACGTGTGTGATGTGTGGTGTGTGCAGCGGAGCGGGCGTTGGAGACGTTGAACTTCAGCCTGATCACCGGGCAGCCGTGCCGGATCATGTGGAGCCACCGCGACCCCAGCCTCCGCAAGAGCGGCGCCGGCAACATTTTCGTCAAGAACCTCGACAAGTCCATCGACAACAAGGCACTCTATGACACCTTCTCACTCTTCGGAAACATCCTCTCATGCAAGGTGGGTGGGCAGCACACACACACACACACACAGAGAGAGAGAGATGGATCCCTCCCTCCCTCCCTCCCTCCCTCCACCTGTGCGTGTGTGTGTGTATGTGTGGTGTGCAGGTGGCGGTGAACGCCAAGAGTGAGTCGTTGGGTTTCGGCTTTGTGCACTACGAGACCGAGGAGAGCGCCAAGACGGCCATCGAGCGCGTCAACGGCATGATGATCGGCAACAAGATGGTCTACGTCGGGCCGTTCGTCCGCAAGTCGGAGCGGCAGAACAGCACCGACGGCAAATTCACCAACCTCTACGTCAAGAACATTCCCACCGAGTGGGAGCAAAAGACGCTCGAGGTGAGTGAGGCAGCCAGACAGCCAGGCAGGCAGCGAGCCACACGGAGAGGGGCTGGGGCCGGGGAATGTGTCATGGGTGTGTCATCGAATCGACGTGTGTGTGTGTCGCAGAACGTGTTTTCCAACTACGGCGAGCTCATGTCGGTGGCCATGCAGGAGGACCCCAAGGGCCGCAAATTCGGTACGTTCCGCCCCAGCCCGCACCTCTCCCCCCCAGCACACAGCAGAGCACAGCACAGCACAGCACTCCACACCACCCCCTCGCTCCCTCTCTCTGCGTGTGCTGTGTAGGTTTTGTGAATTTCAAGGAGCCTGACGCTGCCGGTTTGGCGGTGGACGAGCTCAACGGCCGCGAGACGGTGGCAGACGGCGTCAAGGAGAAGAACGAGTTCGACCATTTGAAGGGCGAGGAGGACGAGGACGAGGAGGGACAGGAGCACGACCACCCCGACGAAGTCAGCCAGGTAGGTGGCGACGTGTGTGACCCCCCCCC